AAAATCTGTAACTAAATTACAAACAATAAAACTTCAATGGTTTTTACTCTTTTTTAATTGTTTTATTTTTCTACCAGAAATTGATCAAATAATGGTCTTGGGAATTGGATCGACAACCTTCTTAAGCTTAAGGTTTGGAATGGGTGCAATATTTAAAGAAATTATGCCGAATTTTCAATTAAATAATAACAAATCATCAACTAAAATTGATTTAGATCTTAAATTAAATAATTACAGAGTTGCTTTAATGAAATCGCAAGATGTACGTAAACGTATGTATATTTATTTGCTTAGGATATTGTTATATAAAGATCATTATGATGAAGCTTTAATAGTAGTTCATCAAATGTCAAGTGATGAAGTTCCATTGGATAATGAATCCTTCAATGGAACTATAGAATGGTTATGTAGCTATAAAAAACCCCCAAAAACTATTATAAAGATTATTAAAAAATTCCATGAAAATGGAGTCGATCCTACAATAAAAACTATTGAAACAATAAATAACTATTTTAATGAAAAAATAAGTGATGATGATATGATAGAATTACAAAACTTGATAAAATAACAATAATTATTATTAAATTATAATATGTATTATTGATATGAAATTAATTTACAAAATTATTATTATTACTATTATTAATGTTAAATAAATTTTGATAAAAAAATAATTAATTTAAGATTTTCTAAATAATATGATAAAATTAATTGTCCATAATAAATAAAAATTATCAATATATATATATATATCTGTTCGTATATAAATAATCTATCATCGTTCTTCTCTACCCCAAATTTTAACACCACTGCCAACACAGAATACAAGAAACAAACATAACATTAAGAGAAATGCCATAAGATAAGCATAAGTTTCGCTGACCACAAACCTTATCAACAAAAAACCAAAAACCATATACATTAACACCAACCACTTTAAACCTTTATTCATTCGAATACCGTGTAAAGGTCTTGACCACCATGACCCAGTGACTTCTTGTGAAGCTGAACCTCTTCTTGAATTTGTAATAAATGGATCCATTAGATAGCCATTATTATCATTGTTATTATCCGTCATTATACGTTCCAATTGAGCACTAGGGGGGGTGGAATTTAATGCATTGGTGGCATGAGGACTTTGCGGCACAGCATTGATAGTAAAAAGTTGAGCATCCATATAATCTAATGCATTTGATTTAAAGTATTGACGTACTGACGAACGTGTTAAGAAATCATCATCAGTTGCATAAAACAATGCTTCGTAAAAAATCATTTGATTTTTTTCAGGATCATCATCCTTAGGCATTGAAGAAGTCATTGTATTATTATTGGTAAATTCGTCAGTAGAAGATGAAGATATTGAATTATCATTATTTGATTGTTCTTTGTTATAATCATAATCATTTATTGATTGAATTTTGTTCAAATTTTCAGGGTCTAATGATAAAGAAATAGCATTATTACTATTATTATAATCAGTAATGTTTCTATTATCATTACTATTACTATTATTAAATAACTTTGATTCTATAGCTTGTAATTCAATTTCTAAAGCGCCACTAAAAGATGATAATGAATTGTGTTTTTTTATCCGAGATTGTTGAGGTTGAAATGTTTTTAATGGAGATTGTATATTACCACCAATAGACCATCTTCTTGACTCTCGGCCCATTTTTGAATCAACTTTTTCTCTTGTGGGTGAATTAAATCCATTATTAATATCGATTGCTATCGAGAAATCATTTTCTATATTGTCAAGAGCAGAAGTGGCAGTTATCTCAACAGATGATATACTTTCTTTTTTAATATGTAATGTTTTTTTTGATGTTACTGACATAGATGATGATTTAATTAAGGAAAATAATGGTTTTACAGATTCGGCTTTGATAATGTAGTAATGTACATCACCAATTATATTCATATTATTCAAGGGCTAAAATAATAATTTCATATTAAATATTTTTTATATTATTAAAAAAAAAAAAATAATAATAAATAAAGTGTACACATACATTTTTTGCTTTCATTCTATGTAATAATCCTTGCTCAGGTTGTGTTCTAAATAATATTTTATTTATATGATGAGCGGAATAGTATGAATAATAAAATTTAGAGTCATCTACTGGGTCAGCAGTTGCAACTTTTGCTAAAATAAAATCTTTGTTTTTTTCAGCATGTTGTTGAATCAAGGTATCAAAAGATTCTAGTGTGAAGGGATCTTCGGTTGTTGCATCTAACACTTTAATTATTAAATTTGATGATAATTGCTTGCTCTCTTTAGTTTCTATGGTTTCGTCATTATTTAATGTTTCTGGATACCCAACAAGCTTAATAAACCGATTGGAGGTAGAATAAATGTCTTCCATACCAATTAACATATTATTTAAAAAGGTTTCATTGGTGTGAGGGTCTTTTGCGATGATTGCATTATTATTTTCGTTGTTATTCTCATTGTTGTTTTGGCTGTTAAGTTCATTAAGTTCATTATTCACATTATAATTATCATTATTATTGTTGTTGTTGTTGTTGTTGTTGTTAATATTAACATTGTTATTGTTGTCTTCTATTGAACCATTTTCAACCATTTCAACTATAGTTGTAAATCTAAAATTCAAAAAAAAATTTTAAATTATTTTTTAAATTTATCTATCTCGCTTGTCCTCTCACTCACTATGAGAAAGTTTTATAGCTAGCTTTTTGTAAGAAAAATAATAAATAATCCCAAATAGTAATAAAAAAGAGTAAAAACCATTGAAGTTTTATTGTTTGTAATTTAGTTACAGATTTTTTTTACTTTTTTTGGACCTCGAATTACTAAAAAAAGAAATAATCAACGAATTACGACTGTTAGCTTGTTAGTATTAGTGTTATTGTTTCTTAGGTTTGGTT